TTGATACTTTTTCCTCTATGTCTAAATGTTCACTCCTCGCAAATATCTAACTTACATTTTACAATGCAGGGACTGTAACTAGAGATAACTATGCTAGTTATAAATACAGTAATCATTACTTTTTTTTAGGAAGAATAAGTTTGTTGTGGTTTCCAAGCTCATTAATGTTAACGTTAGCGGTCTTCCACTGATAGTGGCATTAGCTAGCTTTGTGGTTAGCTAGTCTATGATGAGCCATAATTTAGCAATGGATAAAGTCATACTGCTAATTGTAAAACATACATTTTCAATATAACAGGCTAAGGAGAGATGATACGTCTCACTGCTATAACTGCCACACTATTAAAGAAATACTTCAGTCTCATTGTCAAAAGTTAAAAGGACAGTCAGTCAACTACTGTACACTGTAACAACATAACGTAATTACTAGCTAATTCCGCCTCACTCTCGGCTTATTTAACAGCAGCAAAACTGGACATGATAGTCACGAAATTTGTCATGCTTATTTGAGTTAAGAGAACTGATGGGGATGTTCTTTTAATTGTTATTCAAGCAATGTATGTCTCGTGACCAGTGTTGGGTAAGTTACTTTAAAAAAGTAACTAATTACTAATTACTTAATCAATGTTGTATTTAAAATACTTATCTAATTACTGTGTCTGAAAAGTAACTTAATTACTCAATAAGTAATTTAACTAAATACTTCTTAAAATCCCTATAAACTTTCAGTGGACAAACAATAGAAATTAAATTCTTTAAATAATAAATAATAATAAAAAAAACATATGAGTCAAACATGAAATAGTTTAGCCTTTTACCTTTCTGAATCATCTTTATTACATTCTATAAAAAAACATTCTATAATAATAAATCTTTTAGTAAGAAATGTAACCTTCTTCAGGTAAGAAACACATAACAAAATAACAAAAAAATATTATTCTTCAACATATCTGAATAACAAAAAAGCTTAACTTAAGAAATGTTAACATGAAACATGAAACTTACTTTCAAAGCAATGAGTACCATATTCATACATAATGTATGTAATCATGTCATGTGTTTCAACAAAGTGAAGTTAACTGTAACCTTTAGTTAACAAACAGAATTCCTCTGAAACTTCCTCAAACCAATGAGCACCATATTTCATGCATACTGTATGCACTCATGTTTTCCAAAAAACTTTTTGTACTACTTAGCTGCTTTGTTTTTGAAAAAGTGGTTGTATCTCATTAATGTAAGTCTCTCAAAGCGTTCACTTGACAGCCTGTTCCTTCTGGGCGTAAGCACAAGATTGCCCAGGCTAAAAAGCCTTTCGACTGGTGCGCTTGATGGTGTGGCTGTGTTGTGCCTCAGTGAAATGGCCTTAATCCTGGGAAACTGGCTAAGAACACCCAGCTCAGACCCAGCAGATTTCAAATATTCCATCACCTCTGTTTCAGCAGAGTAGGTACAGTCGTCCTCCTCAAATGAAAAAAAGTCATCAGTGGAGTCTGCAGGTTTCTTGTGATCTTGAGCATGTTGTTGGTCTTCAAGAGACAACCCATGGCACTCTGTAGTAAGCATTGCCCTAACCATGCCTTTTTTCTCTTCTTCTCTGATCCAGCGTAACTTAAATTTAGGCAAAGTGACTGCAGCCAGGAGAGCTTCTTTATTGTCCATCATTGAGGAAAAGCGCACCTTGATTGCCTATGAGACAAAAATACATCAGACACTTCTTCAGACACTTCACATAAGAGCATGATAAATAAAACAAAAATGTATTTTAGGGTAAGGTCAGAATCTAGCAATTTGTACTATATATGTATAATATATATATATATATTAGATTACCTTAACAATGACATCAGGGAGAGATGCTGTCAGCTTAAGCTCGTCCCGCAGTGCCAGCGTCCTGGACATTAGAATCTCCAGAGTTGGAAGAAGGATTCCAAAATAGCAGTTCTCTTCTCCTTGCAATATGTCTAGCGCAACAGTGAGTGGCTTCAACACGATGCAATACTCCTTTAGGAACAGAT